TGGCCGCTCAGAGCGGCCTCTCCTACAAGCAGCTCCCGCTGCGCCTCTACCAGGTCACCAGGAAGTTTCGGGATGAGCCCAAGCCCCGCTTCGGCCTGCTGCGCAGCCGGGAGTTTTACATGAAGGACATGTACACCTTCGACGCCTCCGAGGAGGCGGCCCGGCGGACCTACGACCTGGTGTGCGACGCCTACCGCAGCCTCTTCCACCGCCTGGGCCTTCCCTTCGTCAAAGTGCGGGCGGCCACGGGCAGCATCGGCGGCACCATGTCCCACGAGTTCCAGCTCCCGGCGGACGTCGGCGAGGACAGGCTGGTGGTGTGCCCTGGCGGACATTTTGCGGCCAACGTGGAAACGCTAAACGGGGAGCAAACGTCTTGCCCCACATGCGGAGAAAAACTGACCGAGACCAGAGGGATCGAAGTGGGGCACACGTTTTACCTGGGCACCAAGTACTCCTCTGTCTCCAACGCTGTCTTCTACTCCCCTGAGAACAAACCCCAGCTGGCAGAAATGGGTTGCTACGGCCTGGGCGTTACTCGCATCCTGGCGGCCTCCATCGAGGTGCTCTCTACGGAGGACAGCATCCGCTGGCCGAGCCTCATCGCACCCTACCAGCTCTGCTTCATTCCCCCCAAGAGAGGCAGCAAGGAGGAGGAGGAGGGAGCCGCGCTCCTGGAGCGGATGTACGACGACCTTGCCGAAGCGCTGCCCCACCTTGCCGGTGACTCGGTGCTGGATGACAGGACGCAGCTGACCATTGGCAAACGGCTAAAGGACGCCAACAAGCTGGGTTATCCCTACGTGGTCATAGCCGGGAAGAGGGTTTGCGAGGACCCCCCCGTCTTCGAGGTGTGGAATCAGAACGCTGGCAAGGTTTTGTTCCTCACCAAGGAAGGTGTCATTGAATTGCTGAGTAAAGTGCGAGTCCCTTGAACTCCCTGTCTCTGAATCTCTCATCTTTGCTGCAAAGTTTATCTGAAGAGCCCTGGTTCCTTTTCAAGGAGGTGCAGGTTGTCTGCAGTGGCTCTGGGTGAGCTGAATCCAGCTCGTGTCAGAGCCAGCCAGGGTGCCTTGCGAGCCCCCCGGCTGCTGGGGCTGAGCTGGGGTCACCCCACGTTCCCCTGTGGGGCCGGGGGCGTTTCTCCCTCTGGCTACAGGCCCCCACAGGCTGCTTTTACCAGTGCATGTAGCCTCGTGCGGCTGTGGGAGCGCTGGCAGGGTCAGCCCCTCGCTGCCCGGCCACAGCAGATGGGCTGGCAATGGCCTCTGTTGAGCACACACAGCAGCAGAGGCTGCAGGAGTGGGGATGGGAGGGCTTCCCTCGCCCTATTCAGGTGCTGAGTTCTCAGCACGAGGGATTTTAAGAGGGAGAGAAAGGAAGGCGCCATTCCTCCATTAGCATCTTCTCTTTAGAGACACCCAGGTTCCATGAAGGTGGGGGTTAATCTTAGTTAAAGCAAAATGGTGAACTCTAGAGCCTTGTTCACCTTGAAGATGCCATAGCACTGCAAATCTGCAGGAATTAAGGTGAAGAACGGTGTCAGCATCTGCATCCCAGTCCTGCAGGTCAGTCCAGCTGGTGAGACGCCTGGATCTGCCAGGCTTGGGTGGTGACGGTGTGATTTCGGGGATGCGGCCTCAAGGTGGTAGAAAATCTTTGCAAAAAAATTAACAAGGAAACATAAAATCTGGGGACCTGCAAAGCCTAGGGGTAAAAGTGTCCAGGCCACGTTGTTGCTTATAGGCTGTAAGTAACCCTGTCACTCAAGGCGGTGACATCCCGCTTGTACGTGCCTGCTGCAGCGTGGGGCTTGCCACGCCGGGCCCCGGGGCTCCCGTGAGGAACAGCTTTCCGCCATCCCAGCGGCACTGACCGGTGCCATTGCCCCATGAGCCTTCGTGTGACTGCCATCCTGCCCCGCACAGGGAGCTCTCTGGAGGGAGTCGCCTTGCCCCGTGCCGCAGCTCCGGGGGCTGAGATCCAGAGCTGGCGAGCAGCGATGGTGCCGCTGTCATGTCGGGCTTTGTGGTGGGCCCACGCTCTCTACGTGCTCCCGCACCACGTCCTTCTCCTCCCTGTCCCAGGCAGGATCAGCTCCACCTGCCCTCCCCACGGCCGGTGCCTCCCCAGCCTGCTGCCGAGAGCGGGCCGGAGGGCGCTGGGCCGGGCCTGGGGCGGGGGGGGCCGGGCCCGAGGGCGCTGGGGGCCGGGCCCGAGGCGGGAGAGGCCGGGCC